ACCAGGGGAGGGAGGGACCAGAAATCCTGCCATGGGCCAGGGCTTCTCTTTATCTCTGCTTATCTCCGTTCATGGGCACAAATAGCAGGTCAAGGTTCTGTTTTTACAGCCAAAGGGGACTTATGACTTCCAGTGGGAATGGAGAGAAAAAAAACAATTCCCTGAGAAATGAAAGAGTTCAGTGTCAGATGGGAAGAAGTCAAAGGGAGGGTCAGGGACAGCTTGCTGGGCTGATGGGGAGCTCATTTCCCCAGGTGCTCCACCTCCACCCTAGAGGAGTAGAGTCTGGGGGGGCAGGGACAGGCTGCTGGCAGGAGATGAGGAATTTGCTATTTGAAATGTCCAGGACACCTGTCTTTGGGTCTGGACATAGAACAAAAGGGCTGTGAAAGGGAGGATCCCAGGTGTCTAGTTGGCTAGTTGGGCCTGAGAATCTCAGGGTAGTGGACTCGGAAGCTGAGCGGACAGGTGTCTCCAGGGCAGAAAGCGGGAAGAGCAGAGGGTCCTGGAGGGGATTGTGCTGGGCTCTGAAAATCATATTGGAGCCTAGTTGTCAATCATGTTGGAGAAATCTCTCTCTCTTTTTCCCACTCTGAGTCATCTCTGGCTCAGTGGAATCCATCTCCCGACAGGTATGCTCAAGGATGGTCACTGGAAATGTCTCGCAGGAACGTCCAACTCTCAGGGCTAGGATGCATCCCTCACCCCAGATGGGATTATGAAGGGACCTTCACCCCTAGCAAAGCCTGCTAGATCCAGGCAGCCGGTGCTGCTCCAACCAGCAGGCCGTGCAGTGCCTAGCAATTTGTCCCCTTGCCTTTCACATTTCTGATTGCAGCCTTGAGTAGCCTGCAGTCAGTTGTTGATGAGGACATCATTCTACCCTGCCTTGTGCCAGCTTCCTCAAGCCCAGGACATCCATCACCCCCTGGTAATCTGGCCCCCTCGATTTCATGCCGACAGGTGATGGCTGGGGTTGGTTCATGCCTGACCCAGCCTGGGGCATGCTGGCCACAACTCCACAAAATGAGTCATTTGCTGCCAGCCTGTCCCTGCTCCTTGTGCCCCTTGCAACTTTAATGCAAATGTCACCCTGGGATCCTATCCTTGTGGGATTCTTTTTTTTTTTCTCCTTAAAGAAATACCATATTAGAAAGGACATTTGTCCTCTCTCCTGTTTAAATTGCTTTCCACGGGTTCAGGAGACCTGGCCATTGATTTTCTTCTAGAGAGTGCAGTAAGCCCTGTGAAGATTTTGGCTAATTAACTTTTAGAGAAGTGCTTGGATTTATCAAGGAGGTTGAAGTCTTTTTTTTTTTTTTTTCTCCTCCCACATCTTGAAAAAGGCTTTTAACTTTTGTTTCCGAATTTCTGCCAACACTCGATCTGTTCAAAAGGGACTTCCCTGGAGACGATACAAGAGGGGCTGTTGGATGTCACCTTTTTGCAGCCTCAATCTTTAAGACAGTTGTTTCAGTGTGCAGAAAATCTTTTCTGTTTATCTAAGGGAGGAATCATTCACACAAAGATTACATTTAAACATATACATCTACCCTGGCATGCCCTGTTACTAATAATACTGCATATTATGAAAGTGGAAAGTATTTAAGATGAAATTAATTTTTGCCTCGTGTGCCACTTTGTTTGACTTTCTTGTTCCATTTGGTGTGAGGCACAAATATTGGCCAGCCTCACTTTTCCTTTTTTGCAAGTTTGCTTTCTTGTTCCTCTCATCTGGGCCAAAGCTGTTGGAAATGAGTTACTAGCATATCAGGAAAAGTCCAGCAAATGGAAACCCTTTGTTCTCCAGGAGTTTTGGTGGACAATTTCTCTCTCTCTCTCTCTCTCTCTCTCTCTCTCAGCAGACTTTCTGAGGGTAACATCTTTTTAGTGGTCTGTCCATCCGGTGCTCTCGCCAGTTCTCATCAATGTGATGTGGCTGGTGTGGCTGGCTGCAGGAGCATCCTGGAAACCCTGGATGAGCCGTGTCACTTTGCCTGGGCAGAGCTGCCTGTAAAAGTTCTGTACCATGAGCTATATCACCTTGGCAGAAGGAGGCATTCAACCTGGTGTGACATAGGCGAACACTTTGTTGAAAAGAGTTTTTCATTTTTGGTTACTCTTGTGATACTTGTTACCAATTTAGATTATACCAGTTTATGTGCCATTCCATTTTATAGCATATTTTTTTGGGGGGGGTACTGGGGATTGAATTCAGGGGCACTTAACCACTAAGCTACATCCCAAGCCCTTTTTTGGTGGGGTACCCAGAATTGAACTCAGGGGCAGTTGACCACTGAACCATAACCCCAGTCCTAATTATATTTTATTTAGAGACACGGTGTCACTGAGCTGCTTAGGGTCTTGCTAAGTTGGTGAGGCTGGCTTTGGACTTGTGATCCTCCTGACTCAGCCTCCTGAGGCTCTGGGATTATAGGCGTGTTCCACTGAGCCTGGACCGTTTTATAGCATCTTCATGGGCTTCATCTCCCCTCACCAGCTGATTTCCAGTTGTGTGACTATTATATGTTGATGATAGTTTAATTTTGTAAGGATACTTTCTGAGCATGCTCTGCTGTCCCTATGAGGGTGACCATCTTCAGAGGGTTTTTTTTTTTTAAGACGCAATAATAAATTTCCAAATCATGTCTCAGAAGTGTCCATGGTCATATTCTCCCATTATAACATATTTTCTTTGAATTCTTTGTTAGAATCTGACTCATGACTTAAAAAAAATAGTATAAAAAGGACTGTTACAAATTTTGATTTCTAAAAAGTGGTGGTGGAGATGTGCAACCAGTTGGGACTCTAGTGCCCAGTTGGTGGGATTGTAATATGGTGCTGGCCCTATGAACAACAGTACAGGTGTTCTTCAAAAACTTTAGAATAGAAATTACCCTATGACCTAGCAATTCCACTCCTGGGTCTATACCCCATAGAACCAAAAGCAGGGTCTTGAAGAGACATTTGTGCACTCAAGTTCGTTGTAATGTTATTCATGATGGTTAAAATATGGAAGCAATCCAGGGGTCCATTGACCAACGAATACACACACACACACACACACCAGACACAGGAATATTATTCAGCTTTAAGAGGAAGGAAATTCTGACATATGCTATGACATGATGAACCTTGAAGATATTACACTAAGTGAAACAAATACTGTAAACCTGTTATGTAGACGACTTCTATGAGGTACTTAGAGTAGTTAAAATCATAGAGACAGAAAGTAGGGTGGTGTCTGCTAGGGCTGAGGAAAAGGGAGGTTAAGGAAGTTATTGTTTAATGGGAATATAGTTTCAGTTCTGCAAAAAAGAAAAAAGTTCTGGCGATGGAGGGACTATGAATGTCCTTGATACCACTGAGCTGTGCACTTAAAAATGGTTAAGATGGTGAAGTTTATGTGTTTGGTGCCACAATTTAAAAAATTGGCAAAAAAACCCTTGTATTAGTCAGCATTTCATCACTGTGACAAAATACTTGGGAAAATCAACTGAGAGGAGGAAAGATTTATTTGGCTCACAGTTTCAGAGGTTTCAGTTCATGGTTGGCTGGCGGCACTGTTTCAGGGTCTGTGCTGAGGTAGTACATCATGGTGGAAGGGTGTGGCAGAGAGAAGCTGTCACCTCAAGGCCAGGAAGGAGGGAGAGGGTGGGGGAAGGGGGAGACTGAGGGATAAGATAAACCCTTCTAAGGCATCCCTAGCCTGTAACCCATTTCCTCCAACTAGGCCCCACCTCTTATTATTGCCATCAAATTATGAATCTATCAGTGGATTAGTCCACTGGTGAGGTCAGAGCTCTCATGATCCAATTTCTTCCCCAAAGCCCCACCTCTGAACATGAGTGCCTGACACATGAACCTTTTGGGGACATGACAGATCCAAACCAGCCCAACCTTCAACTTTACTTTCTTTATTTCTCTGAATATTTTGGTGAAGAAATATATTATTTTTAACTCAAAGACTTTCTCTCCAAGATTTTGGCTTCCTCAAATCTACAAACAACCACAACAAAGGGACATTCATAATGTTGCTTCCAAATGAGTTACTGGATTCTCCCTCTGCCCCTGCAATTCCTGTGACTCCTCTCCTTTCTGCCCCTCTCCCCCTCCCAGAGGCTCAAGTTGACTTGGCAGAGGTCATGTTATTACATTTGCATTTCTTTGGGACATTTATTAATTTCTACTGCATGTCTGTGTTTTATTTGTTAGGTATTTGATTTCACCGATTGTTTTACATTTGGTCAGTTATATCAGTGTTATATTTTGGGTCTTTGAAAAGGACACTATCTTTAAGTTAGCAGCATTACCATGTGTCCAAGGGTAATATTCAGGAATGTAAAATTTACTGTGCTTTATCAGATAACCACTCCTGCAAACCATAAAGGTCTTCTACTTGTGTCTCCAACTCTGGGGGTTGAATTATTTTGAGTTCAAGTACTATTTAAAATGCTTCTTTTGTTTTCTATCAGGAAAAGTGATTTAACTATGTAGTTTAAAAAGATCGGTGCTTGTCTCTTTCCACCTCCTTCTCCTTATAATAATAAATACTCCTTACTTTTACAGGCTGTTTTCTCTGTCCCTCTGGTTTTTGTTTATGTAGAGCATTTCTCTTCTATTGCAATAGGAATCTGGGTATCTTTGCTGGAGGTTTGGGTTCACCTAGAGTACCTTTGTTGGGGACTCCTGAGAACGAAATATGGCTAATGGGAGACTTTAGAGAGAAGGCTCTAGAAGCTAGAGGTCCTATAGGCCTCATACAGAAGGTAGTTCCAGAGCTACCTCCATCTGGAGCTGCATCTCATGCCTGCTACAGCAAGGGGTTTCTAAATTACCTGGTAGATTTGGGATGGGAAGTAGAACAGAGTCGATGCTGTTACCTTCTTTGCCTTGATCATCAAAACAGCAGATGCTTCCCAGAGAGGGAAGTGGGGGACACCCGTTTCCCTCGGGGTGTGTTTCTTGGCTTCACTCCTTTGTTTACTATCTCCCCACAGGCTCGGGGACCAATTCTACAAGGAAGCCATCGAGCACTGCCGGAGTTATAACTCGCGGCTGTGTGCGGAGCGCAGCGTGCGTCTCCCCTTCCTGGACTCGCAGACGGGGGTGGCCCAGAACAACTGCTACATCTGGATGGAGAAGAGGCATCGAGGCCCAGGTGAGCTGTGCCACTTCTGGGACGTGCTTGCACGTGGGTTCCCAGGCTGGAGGGAGGAAGACCAGAGCTTCTGGGAGTCCAGAGACAAGCTGCACCGGCTTTCAAGACACTCAGCGGCTTTCGTAGCTCTTGGAAGGTGTTCCAAGGAAGGGGACAAGGGTGGTGTGGGCCATGGAGGCTGGGGGGCTGGGGGGCGAAAGAAGGCAAGACTAGTACACAAGAACAGCCCTCGTCATTGAAAATCTACAGTCAGATATGGATGGGAGGCTTCGCTTGTCACCAACTCTCTGACCCTCAAGTTCCTTATCTGTAAAAGGTGGATAATGTTAATATTTACTGCTCAGGGTTTTGTCAGGATTCAATGAAAAGGTTCAAGAAAACTCATGACATGGTATGTGTTCCAGAAGTGCAGGATATTATTGTTGATATTACTGTATTATTATTACCATGACACTAGTCTTCAGGCTCCAGAGAACAGAAGAAAGACCCATTTTTGGAGATTAGGGAGGCAATACAGGAATGCAATTTTCTGGCTTTATATGGGTACATCTAAAAAAACCTTTTTATTTTGAAAAATTTTACACCCATATAAAAATGAAGGGAATGGTAAAATGGATCTCCATGTATCCCAAAGATCAACCAGTGGCCAATTTCATTTCATTTATACACACCTGCCACTTTCTTCTCCGACTTCAGATTATTTTGAAGCAAATGTAGGACATTATTATTTCATCCACAATCTTTTTTTTTTTAATGCATCTCTAAATGTTAAGGACTTAAAAACCTCAAACCAACCTACAATTGCTTTCAAATTTCAATGATACCTTAAGATCATCAATTATTTGGTCAACATTCATTTCCCTTCTCTATTTAAATCAGGATCCAAGTAGAATCCCTATGCTGCGATTGGTTGACATGTCTTTTAAATTTCTTAAAATGTGAGGGTTTCTGTTTCTGTCTCTTCTTCCTCTTTGCATGTTATTTGTTGAAGAAACTGGGTTGTTTGCACTGTAGGGTTTCCCAGAACCTGGGTTTGCTGATGGCATCCCTATGGTGTTCTTCCCATGAATTGGTAATTAGGTCCAGAGTCTTATTCAAGCTCAATTTTTTCTTCCTTTTTTTTTTTTTTTTTGGCAAGAACAATTCCTAAGTGGGTATTGTGTACTTTCATCAGGAGGCTCATATGGTCTGGTTATCTCTCTTTTCTGATGTTAGCAGCCCTCGGTGATGATTGTCTAGATTCCTTATCCCATTAAGAGTTGCAAAAAGGTGACATTTGATTCGAGGCCATTGTTATTTCTTCATTTATTAGCACTACAGCTTCTATAAAGAAAAAACATCCCCTCATTAAAATTTTTTGGCTATTAGGAAGTATAGTTGACATAAGAAAATCAGAATAACTGATTTTCCCTTTATTTACCTGTATTCAGAATAATGAGTAGGCTCCCTGGTAGTCTCCAAAGGTGATCAATAAAGTTATTTTGAGCACCTCCGAGAACTCAGACTTTCCTATATTTGATGTGCTTGAATCCACCGCTGCCTTTCTTCTGATTGATGCTTATGGTGTCCCATCTTTGCCCAATAGGGGTTTGGGCCAGTGCTGGTATTTTGACACATTCCCAGTAGTTTCTGATAGCCTCCTAGCTCCCCTAGTATCTGGACAAAATGTTTCCAGGTCACCTGTGTACTTCCTGCCACAGACCTGAATCAACAATTTCTCTAAGAAACGCCAGTTCCTTTGTGTAGGAAGTGTTATTAGAGACCAAGGACTGTGGTATTCGTTCATTGCTTCTGAGATGGTCATTGTTTCTAGGTCTTCTGAGTCAGCAGAATTAAGAAATATTTTTCTTTTCTGAAGCAGGGAAACGTGATGAAATTATACTGATATTTCCCATTCAATTCAGTTTTACACAGTTTATACTTAGCAATTTTCATTTTGGGCCTCCTTTCTCCCACATCCAAAAACTCCTGAATAGCTGGGTGTGGTGGTGCATGCATGTCATCCCAAATGACTCAGGAGGCTGAGGCAGGAGGATGGGAAGTTCAAAGCCAGTCTTAGCAATTTAGTGAGGCCCTAAAGCAGCTTAGTGAAACCGTCTCTCAAAGTATTAAAAAAAGGTGGGCTGGGAATGGGGCTCAGTGGCTAAGTACCCCCGGGTTCAATGCTTGGTACCCCCTGCCAAAAAAAAGAAAGGGTTAAGGTAACCACAGGGATTCAGGAGGTTGAACTGAGTTAGGGCAAAAAGCAGACAAATACCAAATGCAAAGGGTCACTGTGGTCAGATAAGATTATAAACCAGCTGAAGAATTTGTTGAGGGCCTAGAACTGTCAGAGCGTGGGAACTTATTCTAGGACAGGGTTGAGACAGATGGTGGTAGTTTCAGAGTGTCAGCTTGGAGTGGGCTGTACATGGTCATCATGGGTAGTTCTTCTGCCCATTGCTTAGGCTGTGCTTTGCTGAGGTTTAAGGATAGAGATTTGGAGGTTCATCCTTGTGGTGATTTTCCTTGGCGAGGCTCCTGATGACTGACCAGGTGATGGGGTCAGTGTCACCATGTTCAGTATTGGGGTGCTCCTCCTTTTATGGACCTGAGGTGAGGGATTGGCTTCATTTGGTGATCTGGGGTGTTAGATAACTCATGGGCCTAACATATTTCTGATATGAGTCTGATAAGCTCATGCAGCCATGTGCTTCTGATTCATTTGGCAAGTTCACAGGTGGTCATTTTTATTAGCACAATTAATTCATGTATCAGTTTGTGCCTTATGGTTGTGCTAGGCAGATGGTGATTGTTTACTTGTACAAAGTGTAGAGTCATTCGACCTCAGCACTTGGATTCAAAATGGAGTAAATCATGACAAACTACTGTGTTATAAAATGGAATAACCCAGAGTTAGGCATAGCCTAAAAACTACCGTTCTATTCATCATAGAGTAACTCAGAGCAGGGCACAGCCTGCTCTCCACAATTCTTCTCATTGTGTTCAATATTTCCTGGGGATTTAACTCAGCACTTGTCTACATTCTAGCCCTTTTTATTTTTATTTTGAGACAGGGCCTCACAAAATTGCTTAGACTGGCCTCAAACTTGCCATCCTCCTACCTCAGCCTCCTGAGTATCTGGCATTATAGGTATGTGCCACCTGCTTGGCTCACAAATTTGATTTTGATGTGTCTTGGCACAGATTTTTTTTGGGTTTACCCTATTTGAAATTTATTCAGCTTTGTGAACACACACACACATACACACACACACACGTACGTATATATGATATATATCTATTTGCCACATTTGGGAAATCTTTACTGAATATTTCCTTGTATATGTCTTCAAAGCTATCCTATTTTTCCTCTCCTTCTGGGACTTGAACACAACAAACGTCAGAGCTTTTATTGTATTTATTTTTTGTTACTATTTTTCAGTTCCTGAATTTCCATTTGGTTCTTCTTTCTGTCTTCTATTTCTTTTCTTTCTTTTTAATATTTTTAGTTGTAGATGGACACAATACCTTTATTTTATTTATTTATTTTTATGTGGTGCTGAGGATGGAACCCAGTGCCTTCCACGTGCTAGGTGAGCCACGACCCCAGCCTTTTGTCTGTTCTATATCTTTGTGGAGACTTTATATATTTCACTTTTGTTTCGTGTGTTCACAATCGTTTGTTGGAACATTTTTATGACGACTGTTGTAAAATTTTTAGGAGCTAGTTCTAGCATTGGCATCGTTTTGTGGTTGGTGTCTGTGTCTTTCCTCGGTCTTCATCTGATGAGTGATTTTGATTGAGTCCTGGCCGTTGTGCTGTGAGACTCTAGAAGTTCTTTAAATCTTCTGTTTTAGTCGGCCTCCTCTGATGCTGTGCTAGTGGGGGAAGAGGAGGTGCTCCTTGTTCTGTAGATGGGTGTGGAATTGCAGGTTCTTCACTGAGTCTCTGTTGACTCTCCCCCCACTGGGGCAGGAGTGACTGTCATTGCTGGTTCAGTCTTCCCTCTAGGCCCTAACGAACACCTCGGGGTGTCAGCTTCTCTCTTGGCCTTTGCTGACATTGACCCAGCAAAGGTTTGAGATCCCTGGTTATCTGGTTGACGTGGTCTCATTCCTGGGCCTTTAGTTAGAGAGAGAGAACGAGCAGGATTTTCTCGGGGCACTTTTTGGCCTGCAGTTGTGTTTCCAGGACCCAGCCCTAGATACATGATGCAAAAAGAATATTCAGGGAACCTCCCACTCTGTTGTCCCTCAGGTCCCAGGGCCCCCAGCTGGACTGCTGGTTTCCTTTACTTCAGTATTTTCTGGTGTTTGTTGTATGAATAATGTCCGGGATATTTAGCTGTACTTAGTGGGAGGGAATATGGGAAAGTTTATCTACTCTTTGTTTTCAGAAGCAAAAGTTCCTGAAATTGATTTTTTATTTAAAAAAATTATTCAAACTTTTGAGTTTCAAATTTCAGAGCCTTTTGGATTTTTGGATTAGTGATTCTCAACTGATAAAGTCCACATAAATAATAAAAGAATCTGAAAAACTCAGGCCTGAAACACCTCTGGTCCCAAGAATTTCAGACAAAGGATACTCAACCTGGATAATTATATACGATAAACAGTATGTATTTAATATGTATGGTTTGATAAGTTTTGAAATGTATATACCTGGGAAACTATCACTACAACCAAGATAATGAACATAGCCACATACCCAAGGCAGTTTCTTTTATCTCTTGCAATCATCTCCCTCTCTTACTTCTTCCCCTGAGGCAATTACTGACCTGATCTCTGTGCTGGAATCATACACTATATAGTCCTTTTTGAGGGGGCAAAAGAGCATCTGGCTTCTTTCACTTAGTCTAATTATATTGAGATTCTTCCAGGTTCTAGCATGTATCAATAATTTATTTCTTTTTACGCTGAGTGCTCTTTTACTGTACGACTGTATCTTGGCTTATCCATTCACCTGTTGATGGGCATTTAGATCGTTTCTGGGCTTTGGCTGTTGTAAATAAAGTTAC